TCTGGAAGCCAGCGATTTGTCACAGAAGAAGAAAACTCTGCCCTGGTTCCTCTGCGGGGGTCTGGCTGATGTGGATGTGTTTTTTTATTTTGATCGTGGGCGGAAAGCGGAAATCTGAAATCTGACGGCCGCAGGGGTTAAAAATAACCATCTGGAGGCTCCACCACATCCCCATCAGCCCGATTCCAAAGCCCCAGACACCTTATATTAAGAGATCTGGATCAGGATTCGTATTTTTTAAAAAGCTGCCGTGATCATGTTTGAATAGTAATCCGACAAATATCTGAAATCTGTGTGTTCAGGCGCCTCCTTTTTGCTCCTGTCATCCGTCCCCGTGCGAGCAGGAAGTAAACAGGCTTGTAAATAATTGAGAGCACGGCGGAGTTTTAAACTTTGAATCCGTTTTGGTTATTACTCCGAAACCAAAGGAGACGATCAGCATTCAGGGACTGAAGCCCTTAGACCTGTTTTATGTCCCATCCGAGGCAGTTTCCTCCTCAGGAATCTCTGCCTAAGATGGGAAATCCAGTCGGCTGAACTAAGTGACATTAAAGGAGGAAAAAGGTTTCATGTTTTTGTGTGTGAGCGCCTCTCAGATTAAAGCTTGAAACATCTGCCATCAGATCAACTGCCTCAGATTTGGTTGCCTTTCTTTATTCTTTTGCTTCAGATGTACTTTCCCCTTCTACTTTTGGGGAAAAACACATAAACCGAGTTGTAAAATATCCAAATGTGAAACCTGGCTACACTAATTAATGAGTCCCTGTGTCCTCATGGAGCCCTGGTGTTGGGCCACAGGGGCCTGGGGGTGTTACTGCCCCCCCTCCAGACCCGTTCTCAGGGGGGGCTTCGGCTGCTGGATACCCAGATACCCAGACACATGCCTCCCTAACCCTTTAAAGCCTGATCCAAGGAAAATAGGAAGAATATTGGATTTTTTTAGTCTGAAGTCTTTCTACACACATTTTCCTCTTTGCATCTTTAAATTCTACAACATTTACTTTGAACACAGGTGTCATTCAAGCCAATTCCTAATAAAAGTCCAATATTTGTTCATATTTCTTATTATTTCCCTACTTAATTAATTATTCATTTAGGATTATCATTACATTTTAAGGCCTGATCCAAGAAAAATAGGAAGAATATTGGATTTTTTTAGTCTGAAGTCTTTCTTTGGCCCCTCAACAACATATGAAGAAAAAAAAACAGAAATTATTTTGATCAAATTAGCGTTCAATAAGTTAAATATATATGTTGGTGTAGTCTTCTACTGGCTGTTATCAGGTATATCTGAATGTGTACAACAGGGGTTTGAGCAAAGCTTTTACCACTGAATGATGCAAAAAGTCTCAGATCCAAAAGACTTCAGAAACCGTATGTAGCAAATATAAATTTAGCATTATAGGGTTAAGCTTCTGTCCAGCTGCTGCTCAGCTCTGAGAAGCTCACTAATATCCTGCTACCATGTTGTTGTTTTGTTGCTTGTTTTCTTGTCCTCCCTGCGTCCTACAGGTTCTCCACCTGGATTTCCCACAAGGATCAGAGTCCTTTTTACAGACATCGCAGCTGGTTGTAAGGTCTTGTTGTCTTTCTTTTTTTATTTTTTTTCTTCCCCTTTCTCTTTCTGTCTAAAGCAGGGGTGTCAAACTCCAGTCCTCGGGGGCCACTTTCCTGCAGGTTTTTAGTAATTTTCCTGCTTCTGCACACCTGATTCTTATTAAATTGGATCTCCTCTGGACATTGTTGAGCTTTGCACCGGTCTAACGGCCCTTTGATGTGAATCGGGTGTGTTGAAAAAAGGATTACCTCTAAAGGACTGGAGTTTGACACCCCTGGTCTTAACTCATTGGCGGCCAAAGACGTCTATAGACGTCTTTTATGTTTTTCAACGAGAGTGGCTGGGGGACGATCTGCTAAAGCTTGTCCGTAAATATCAGGCTTCTAGACAGAGTATGTAGTAACAAATTGACCCTCTAGGGGGCAGTGCTACTTTTGATGGGAGATGAGCATAGACTGTAGGCAAATAAGAAAAAGGTAACGGTTCGATATGAGAGAACATGTCGCCGGTGAGACGCAAGTCCAGGAAGAACGGAATAAGGTAGTAACAACATTTTTTGCCTGATGAAAGAAGAGTCTACTCTTTCTTTTGGTGTGTTCGGTGTTTACATAGTCATAGCACAAACTATTCTGTGGCTCTTGAAAAATCAGTCAAAATGCTCAAAAAACTCTGGCAGTATGGGACTCTGTTCTGAAAATGGCTGCCAGTCAATGAGTTAAGGATCTCTCTCCTTTCCACTCCTCTCTTCCCTGTCCCTCTGTCAGGTTTGCCATTATTTCGAAAGGTGTAAGTTTGGTAACAAAAATGAATAATTAAAGCAGTTTTGGGTTATCAAGGGGGGCTTCTCGATAACAAAGCCTCCCTTTGACAAAGCGATTTTGTTCAAAACGGCACTCAGATTTCAGTTCTGCTGAACAGGACAGGGGGAAAAAATAAAATAATAAAGAATGTGAAACTCTGAGGTTTGTGCTGTGGAAAATGGAGGAAACCCTGAAGCCCCCGACGAACACGAGGAGCGGGGGGTCGACAGGAAGTGATCCAGAAAAGACGATTTGGCCAGAACAAACGAGGTAAAAGGATCTAAAAGACGGAAAGGGCAGATTTGAGGTTGTTTATCTGAATAAAAGCTGCAGTGAAACGTCAAATCCAACATGGCAGCGTGCTGTCAGCAATCTACACAGATGAATTAATACGTCTTCAGATATATTTCAGGTGGAGGAAACGCCAGGTGAACCACCAAAGTCCAGTTTACCGTTTCAGGAACCCTCAGATCCAGGTTCTCCAACAGGGAAGCTTTAACAACACCTGCTACCAGGTAAATGGGTTTACACAGAGAAATAAACTCAAAAAACACTCACTCAGCAAATGGTTCTATTAATCTGACCAAAGCTGGATTGTTAAAGCTCATTTAAACACGTTTGGTCCAACCAAGTTTACACAGAAATCCCAAAACGGGAGCAGAACTCAACCAGATGTTGTGGTCCAGGTCCCACATTTTCCATCTGATCCAATCCTGCTTCATTTGTACCCCAAAGGAGATTTAGAGGGAATAGTGCTCTTGATTTAGTCCATTGGGAGAAAATCAGAGAATCTGTATCTGATAAATGGAGTTAAAAAAAGCTTTCGGTTCACTTTTCTTCGTATCTATTTTGGCAAAAAAGGAAAGAAAATGTTGCGACGAAGCTGTGAAGCATTGGTAATTTATTTTTATCCTTTAATACTGACTTAAAGAACAATGCAAAAACATTTGTTTCACATTTATTATTTCACACAACTGGATATTTCTCGTTGTTTTCGTTCCTCTCCAGTTAAGTCGGCTGGATGGGGTCCTCCCCTGAGAGGTAAAAAAAGCAGTTTATCCCTCAGGGTGCCGTTAGTTTGCTCTCTAATTAGTCCTTGCTCTTCAAAATGCTGCTTTGAGCCTTTTTTTTCCAGGAAGAAAATGTGTTTTTCCGGGGAAACGCGGCCTCTTAAAGAAGCTGGTGACACTAAACCTTCTTAGGAAATGTTACAAATGTGAGCAAAGCTGCGGGCAAAACCGCCTTTCAAAGAAGTCTGGAACCATTTTAGTTTACCCAGAATGCTTTGCGGTCACGGCAGGCTTTTGAATTCTCCCTAATCGGCGGCTGTGTGGTGACTTTTCATGCCATTTTACTTTTCAGTGAGCTGGAATCCTTTTGGAGGCATTTCTTCTCAACATGAGGGGGAGAAAAAAAAAAAGGGAAGATCTCTGGGGACTAGCTGGAAATCAGCCGTGTTTTAAATCTGCTGCTGAACTTAGTCCAAAACTCCTCCATTAGTGGTTCAGACCACGCTGCTTCAGGCCAGAACACAAAACCTAACACTGGACGTAAGTCTGGTTCTTTGTGTCCACGAAAAGATCCCTAGCATCACTTTAAAAGTAGCTGTGAGATCACAGAGATGGAAAGGGGTCAGACCCATGAAGCAGACCCCACCCGGCTGAGGGTCAGGGTTAGGGTCTGGGTTAAGGTTAGGGTCAGGATTAGGGTCAGGTCTGGTCCAGTTGAGGGTTAGGGTTAGGGTTAGTTCTGGTCCAGCTGAGGGTTAGGGTTGGAATTAGGGTTAGGTCTGGTCCAGCTCAGGGTTAGGGTTGGGGTTAGGGTTAGGAACAGGTCCAACTGAAGGTCTGGGTTAGGGTTAGGTCTGATCCATCTCAGGGTCAGGATTAGGGTCAGGATTGGGGTTAGGGTCAGGTCCAGCTGAGGGTTAGGGTTAGGATTGGGGTCAGGTCAGGGTTAGGTCTGGTCCAGCTGAGGGTTAGGGTCAGGGTTAGGGTTAGGTTTAGGTCTGGTCCAGTTGAGGGCTAGGGTTAGGATTGGGGTCAGGTCTGGTCCAGCTCAGGGTCAGGGTTAGGGTTAGGATTAGGATCTGGTCCAGTTTAGGGTCAGGGTTACGGTTAGGGTTAGGTCTGGTCCAGCTGAGGGTTAGGGTTAGGTCTGGTCCAGCTCAGGGTCAGGGTTAGGGTTAGGTCTGATCCAGTTGAGGGTTAGTGTTAGGATTAGGGTTAGGTCCAGGTTAGGGTTAGGATCAGGTCAGGTCCAGCTGAGGGTCAGGGTTAGGGTCAGGGTTAGGTCCAGCTCAGGGTCAGGGTTGGGGTTAGGGTTAGGTCTGGTCCATTTTAGGGTTAGGGTCAGGTCCAGCTGTGAGGGTCAGGGTTAGGGTCAGGATTAGGGTTAGGTCTGGTCCAGGTTAGGGTCGGGGTTAGGGTTAGGGTTAGGGTTAGTTCTGGTCCAGCTCAGGGTCAGGGTTAGGGTCAGGATTAGGATTAGGGTTAAGATTAGGGTTAGGGTTAGGGTCAGGGTTAGGGTTAGGGTCAGGTGACCTTTGCAGAACAACACAAACACAAACCCACCCGTCTGACTCTCAGAGACCAACAGGTCAGCACAAAACACGTTTGGTTCTTTTTAAATTTCACCTCATTCTTCTTCTGCTCTTTTTTCCTGCATCATGTTGAAACTATTCCAGTCTCCTGGCTGCACTAAAGGCTGCAGATGTGAGTTTCCTCGTTCAGTTACAGTGACTTTAGGGGCGGCCTCTCCTGTTCTGACAAAATTAGCGGTTTCTGTTCGGCCTGACGGATAAATTCCTCCACAGGAGTCAAAGCTTCTTTTTCTGGGCTCTAATCAGAGGGGGGGGGGCGTTTTATCTGTCCGGGACTACAGCAACTGAACATTTAGGCGTCTTACCCGTCAGACCAGCATACCCGAAGTTTTACTAATGCGTATTACTGCGAAAAGTTGCGAACACTTGGAGAAACCGTCAGATCGCCATACCTTTCGAAAAACACCAAATCTGAATACCTGTACATACATTTTGAAATGGCAAATTAATCTTATCAAAGTGTACGCTTACGAGCTGATCTGACGGGCTAGGTATGGCGATCTGATGGGCTAAGTATGCTGATCTGACGGGCTAAGTGTGCTGATTTGACGGACTA